CCCTGCCAAAGCCAGCCCCACCGTGGCTTCCCCCCGGCTGCTCCCACTGCGCTGCCCTTGGGTTTTGTGTTTGTTCCCACCGCCCGGGGTGCTCAGAGCCAGGACAGGGAGAGGTCGGGGTGGACCTGGTTAAAAAAAGTAAAAAAAGAGATAAATGCAAAAAGTGAGCAGCTGGAGCTAAATCTGCGGCAGGAGGAGGGGCAGGGGCAGCAGGAGGGGACAAGTGTGACCACCTTAAAAAAAAAATGCTGAGATGTGACTTGCAGGGAGGGACAAAAGCCCATTAACTGTTGTCCGCTGATTAAAAGCAACATAATTGATGCAAAAGCAAAACTGCAAATACATGAAAACCCCCCACCCTCTACCCTTTATTAAACAACCAATAAAGAAAAACTTCAGGTAAGCTTTGCTGCTGAAAAAAAAAGCAAAGTGAGGTTTCCACAAAGAAAAACTCCTCCTCTCCTGCCCCCCGAACCCCTCCTGCCCTCCCGGTCATGGTGGTCCGGGGCTGTGTCCGTATGGGTGCTGTTTGTCCGCTCTACAACCCCTCCTGGCCGGATTCGCCCGATTCCACCCCAAAATGCTGGGTGGTGCAGTCGGACCCGGGGTGCCCCGGTCGCTGGAGACTTGGCTGGCTCCCAGGGAGCAAATCCCTGCGGGCCCTGTGTGGCGTGGAGGTGAAAGACATGTATGTGTATTTATGATATGATATGATAGCATATATAAAAGCACACAAAAAAGCCAAGAGAGTGCGTGTGTGTATGTATCTGTATGAACACATATGTACACACACGTATGTTTACACATACACACACACAGATATATGCACAGATACACATACAACCTGTGTGATGGCGGGAAATATAGATATGCATATTGTATGTATGTGTGTATGTAGATATAAGATATAATTTATATTAAATGGTATACTTATTTTATATCTTATATGTATTATATACAATGTATTATATAATGTGCATCAACATAATACATATATACACATACAATACATACATGTGTACATGTATGTGCACACACATACACAGAAGGACACATAGACAGAGATATATAGAGAGACAGACGTATATATGGTGCCTCTTCCGGAAGCCTTTATAGCACTGAAGCACCACCAGCACCGTTTCTGCCGAGCAGGAGGCCGCTGCCCTGCCAGACCGACCTGGGCGAAGGTGAAGGCGAAGGCGAAGGCGAAGGCGAAAGCTCTGTGCCGAGAGCAGGCAGCGAGGGGCGTGTGGGGCTGGGGCT